AATGACTCAAAGAAGAAGAAAACGAAAACACAAACGAAAATGACTTTAAAGAAAAGGTTAGGTCTGGAGATGTGACCAATGATTTAAAATCAATTTTTGGTGTCTTTTGTTAAACTTATTTCAATGTCAAACCCAATATCGTTATGTCAACAGAAAACTTGAAAATAAGGCATTCATTTGATTATAAAGAATTCAGTAATAAATAAACATTTTAATTTAATGTAACCGTCTAATTATGAATTCATACAATTGTCTCATAACTTTCAAACAAAACTGTATTAAAACCTAAATAAATACTCAATACATAAATGTTTAATTAGTGTTTAATATATTTCCCAATAAATCGATAAACCTGGATGCATTTGATTTATACGAGTCGTATTGAATCCTATTTTGATAGTGGGATTGATTAAGTAATTCAGACAATGACTTCACACAGTAAACGTAAACTAACCCCGAGTGCTCTGGGCTAACCCGATTGTAAGGGTAGTATCCCGGGTAGCGAAAGTCATACAATAATTTTCGGAGGACTCCCAACAACAACAACCGAAACCAACCACCCTGACCTCCCATTCCCCCCATTATATTAGTGGGCATTTGCGGAATGTTTGGTCCGTTATTATTGTTGTTATTGGTATTAAAATCTGTTCCCAAAGTCTTCAGCAAATTATTGAGTTGTTGTCTCTGTTCCCGAAGTTTGGATACGATTTCGTTTTGACTGGAAGTGACTGTCGTTGGACTGAAATAAAATCACACAAAACTCAATAAAACCCATATAATTATGTATACAGTATCTCGTGTTAAAAACATCTCGAAATCGGATCTATTGATGACTTACCTCTGAGTCGTGGGCTGTCTAGTGATTACATAATTATTATTCATATTGTTATTAAAGTTATTATTATTATTACTATAACTGGGATCGGAATTCCTATTATTCTGCGATTCAATGAGTTTTATGAGACCATTGATCTGTTCCTGTTGTCTGTTCTGATTTCTCAGCAATTCCTGGAGGATATCCTTCTGGCGCTGATTCTCCATCTCTTGGCGACGTCTGACCTCCTGTTCCTCAATGGCTTTCATCAAAAGTTTCAGCTTCTCCTGACTCATGGTATTCGTATTCTTCACCCGATTCTGAGTTTGCGGTGACGTAAACATCCTTAAGATGGTCTGCAACTGGTTCTGACCGCTGGCAGTGCCCACCAGTTTCACCAGATTCAGGACCGCCTCATATCGGTATGGATTCATATTATTACCGTTCAGATACTGGCGCTCGTCGGCCAGTCGATTGAGCTGCTGAATGGCTTGCAAACGATATAACATAGTCTGAAGCTTCAGGACATTCATCCGGGTGTTCGGGTCGGTCGACACGTTTTTCATCGACTGAAGAGCTCTCATAAGAGTCACGACTTTATTCAATTGGTTGGCATTCAATGGTTCCGTGTTTTGTAGATTTTGTAGGGGAACACCAGTCAAACCGGCCGTCAAACCCGTGGTCACACCCAACAAAAGATTTGCCAACAGATTAAATATATTGGCTAATAGACCCCTCCCTTGGCGATTGCCACTCTTAGTCTCTTACCACAAGGGTAGCTCTCCAAACAGGCGAAGCCACTTGAACTCCTGGTCAAAGACTTCTCAATAATTGACAAGCGGTTAAACATACTTGACAGCGAGCATAACGCTGTTTAGGAATGAGTTGCGGTACTCAATGTTTGCGACCAAAAACTTTTCCTGCAATCCGTCGACCCGTCGGCGCACGATATCGAACCGGTTGTCCAACTTTTTCAACTCCCCGGCCAATGAGTCCAACTGCTCCTGAGTGTAGTTCCGGTAGAGCTCGGCCACCGTCGAGACGGGCACTTCTATACGACTATTAGCGCCGTTAGTATTGCCAAACACTTCGGCGAAGAGGTCGAAGAGAATGCGATTCATATTGTCGTCTAAATGGATGACAACGAGATTACTGTCCACCGGACGTGGTGTGGGTAAGTCATCGCTGGCACCGGTATTTGCAAATAAGTCTTCCGATAAGACTAAACACGGCTTTTGCCAAATTATATATATAATTGAAACAATTTTTAAGTAATGTTTCATTTTGATGATCTCATACTATATTAAAAACTAAAATGAATTTTAAAACTTTTGGTTAAACTGTTTTTATAGTTAACCCAATTATGTGACTCATATGTTGGCGCTTATAGGAAGTGAATTTGCCTGATATGCTGGTCAGACACCAGTCCTATCTGTTTCGACACATTGTCTATAAAATAACAATCACTGAATTAATTACTAATTAAATTAAATCAAAATAATTCTCAACTATTCAACTAAATAAACAAATTTGAAAAGTTTAAAACTAATGATATTTATATAAATAGCTATCAAACGACTTAAATCAAACGAACCATTAGTTTATTTTGAAAAAATTATAATTATTCATTAATATTTAAAGTCGTTCAAATGTTAATATTACTTTATAAATAAATATATTAAACATACCAAAAGGTTACTCTTTTTTGAAACGCAAGAAAAAATAACATTTGTATCATTTTCTACTCGATGTTTTCAAAATATAATGTTTCAAATGAAATGTTCAAATGAGAGCAAAAAATTTGTCGATTTCTTATATAATGACATTTGTTTCTCAATGTTTCTGTACAACTCATTCAATACGTGTAATTATAATCAATAATATCGGTAATCAATTATAATGTAAATGAAAACTTAAGTACAACAGTAATCATAATTACCTGCATTTTATACAATCAAATAACTGTTTTTTCGTTATAATAGCAATAATAGTAATAATAAAACAATTAATTTCTCATAAAAGATCAAACAATTTGGTATTTTTTTGAAAACATTTTGTTTCGCATGTTTTTTCCAATGATTTTTTAATACAAAAATATATTTATTTTTAGCAATAATAGTAATAATAAAACAATTAATTTCTCATAAAAGATCAAACAATTTGGTATTTTTTTGAAAACATTTTGTTTCGCATGTTTTTTCCAATGATTTTTTAATACAAAAATATATTTATTTTTAAGACTCGATGGAGAGGAGGGATGTGTTTATCAGAGAATATATTTATATATAATTATTATATCTATATATTTATAATCCGTTTATTTTTCAAAATACAACGATTTCTGTCCGCATTCATTCATTTCAATTAATAATTTACAAAAATTTCAGTTTCAATCGTATAGTTCATATAATTAATAATAAAACTTTTAGCTTTAGATTTATATATCTCATGTCATAATAATTATTATCGTAATCATGTTATTCACAATAAAATAAAGTACTTTTTAAAATATAATTAATTTAAGCCTAAAATCAATGGATATCTCAATGCATTGATACAGCAAATAAAGTATGAGTTTTGAGATCAAAGGTTATGAAACAACTCGCGATATATAACGATGGGTACAACCAATGGGTTTCTCATAATTACATTCGAAGCAATAATAGTAATAATAAAACAATTAATTTCTCATAAAAGATCAAACAATTTGGTATTTTTTTGAAAACATTTTGTTTCGCATGTTTTTTCCAATGATTTTTTAATACAAAAATATATTTATTTTTTAAGACTCGATGGAGAGGAGGGATGTGTTTATCAGAGAATATATTTATATATAATTATTATATCTATATATTTATAATCCGTTTATTTTTCAAAATACAACCATTTCTGTCCGCATTCATTCATTTCAATTAATAATTTACAAAATTTCAGTTTCAATCGTATAGTTCATATAATTAATAATAAAACTTTTAGCTTTAGATTTATATATCTCATGTCATAATAATTATTATCGTCATAATGTTATTCACAATAAAATAAAGTACTTTTTAAAATATAATTTATTTAAGCCTCAAATCAATGGATATCTCAATGCATTGATACAGCAAATAAAGTATGAGTTTTGAGATCAAAGGTTATGAAACAACTCGCGATATATAACGATGGGTACAACCAATGGGTTTCTCATAATTACATTCGAGTTTTCAATTGAATTTGATTTTAAGGTTTGTTTTACTCACAAAAATCTCTTTCCTTTCCGTCATTTGACACTAAAATTTGTGTTTTTCGCCCCAATAAACGACACGAATATATCAAAAATCAAAGTTTACACTCAAAGAGCACATATTTGTCAACAGAATATTCTTTATAAGAATTCAAATCCTGTTTTATATTTCATGTAATATAGGAATCAGAAAAGGAGAGCAACAATATTCTGCAGTTTTGTGTGTTTTTTGAGTGCAAACACACACAACATAAGGACTGTCATATACAAGTAAATCAATATAACTGTAAACTAATTGTTTTCAATAATAATCATCATCAATGTCATTTCACAGAGAAAAATAAAGCACCGATTGATAGATATATTTATATAACAGTAATAATTATCGTAATATTTAATAATAATTTGTTTTGTAAATAGAGTTAAATATTTCTTTTTAAAACCGCAAGTGTTTTGCAACAGTGAAGGCACTCCTAATCATAAGATATAAACACCGGGAGTTCAGTCCAGTCAGTCGTTTCAGATAGAGATATACAGCAAATATGGTAAAAGAATAGCTCAAAAATAAAACACTAATTTGAAAATAAAGTTTCCACTAATAGTAAAATCATTAAACATTTGATTCATAAACAATACGTAACATGCAATTCATGAACCAATAGATTTGTAAATATATTTTTCTAGTATTGAAAGCATTTTGAGAGGAATTCTTGGATTTCATTAATGACTGATAATAAGGAATCAAATTTAGCATAAAAACATTTTTAAAATATATGTTATTAACACCATTTCATCCGATATTCAAACATCCAATCAGTCAAATCTATTGTTATGTAAAATTGTAAGTAAAACTCTGTTTCATCCGTAAGAATAGAAATATAATTTCAACAATAAATAGATAAAGAAGTTTAGTATTTAAAAAGTGCTTCAAATGTTTCAACAGTAATATAGCATTCAATAGAGAGAGTAGAGAGAGAGAGAGAGGGAGAGAAACACAACAGTTTTGTCCATCAAATAGTGTATAGAATTGGAAATTTTCATAAACCATTCAATTAGTTATATTTGAAAATAAAGTTTTCATTTTTATGTATATATAGACATCTCCTAAACTTAATTATATACTCATATAATATATATATATATTTTATATATAGTTAAATTTAATAAATAAATGGCAACAGTGTTAACCGCGCAATGATAGGGGGCGGGCGATGGAAGTCTCATAATAATGAAAAATTGAGAAAAGGGGTCAAAAATATACACAAATATAATGATGTGTTTTGTTTCGCAAAATACGTCGGCTCTCGGAGGCGCCGATACATACGATTCAATCATTGATTTCTGTATTCAATGAATACATCAATGAATTTGAAAAAATGAGTTCAAAATGTGGTTTCGATGCAAACATTTGTATTAGAAATTGATTAATCATTTAAAGTGAGGTTTGCGTCAATACTTGGCGGCGCCGCTGCCGTGGATCTTCATGTGGGCGCTCCGGGACTTCACTTTCTGGAACACTTTGCCGCACAGTTTGCACGGGTAGTCACCCAACTGGGAGCCCACACTCGTGGCGGGGCTCGGGTTCGCCGAATCCAAGAACGACGACACGTTGTCCTCGACGTCCGACGACTGGGCGCTGTTGACGCCGAGTCCGGAGCCGCCGTTTGTCAGGCAATCCGTGTCGTTGTTGTTGTCCGCGTCGAAGTCCGTCTCGTATTTAATTGAGTTGTTATTCCCGTTATTATTGTTGTTATGGTTTGTGGGGTTGTCTTCGCCCTCCTTTGACCGCAAGTTATAGAAATACGTCTCGTTTTCGCGTTTACGGCGAATCACACGTAAGCGCCGGTACTCTTCGGGACACACCTTTTTCCACATGTAGTAGAATTGGATGCATTGCTTCACGGATTTGGTGCCGATCTTCGGGTACAACACAATCATAAAAATTAATACAAACTCTGATCGAAATAGTGGTCAACAGATCCCATACCTCTTTGGCTATACTAAAGAAGTCTTTATCACATTTGTTGAGAGCGCACTGGTATGACTCGATCTCCTGGGGCACCCAAATGTCGTTCTCTGTGTCATTCAATACAAACATTAGCTTCAATTCAATCGCAATTATGAATACAATAAACTCATACCCGGGTAGTGATAATCAGAGAGCGGGTGTCCGTCAGAAATAGTAGGGTGGGGCTCCAGTAGCTTAACAATGGCCTCTTGTATGTCACCGTTGGATATATACAGCAAATGCATGGCGTACTCCTTATTACGTCCCGAACCGGGAACGCACGCACAGCACGACAGCTCCAGATAGGACTCGATGTCATCGGCGGTCAGGGACTCGGCGACACTGGGATCCCACACGAGGTCTCCCTTATCTGTCCGATACTTGGCCTCATCCTTGTTCTTATTGAACGCCGGTATCCGCGCCTGAAAACTGGGCCCAATGTTAACGTGTGGCTGAATGTCGGTCTCATATGCCGTCTCCGGTATCTCGCAGTCGTACGGCTCGTAGGCAGTGGTGGGGGTTTGAGCCACGGATTGGCTCAACACCTCCTCCTTCACGTCGGACGAGCTTTTGCGCGAATACACAAACTTGGGCTGAATGGCGGCCCCACTCTTGGGAGTCATATTGCCGCTGATGATATGCCAGAAGAGTCCGGGCCCGGAGCGCACCGGCGACAACATCGGTGGCGGCGTATAGGGAGGCGGCGACAGATTCTTCGTGTCGGGCAATACCGACGGATCCCAGAGTCGCGGCGATCGCAGTCGCGACTGATAGCCACAGGTGTTCACGTGGGGCGGTATATACAGGGGCTCCGGGCGGTGCTTCGGCCGCTTAGGTGAGGCCACGCACGAGGAAATGGCGGGCGACGAGCGTTTGGGCGACGGCGCCAAACCCACGGGACTCAGGAACACGTCGTCCCCCTCTTCATCGCATTCGTCGATCTTCTCTAAGTTGACGACCAAATGGGGCGGCGATGACGTGCTGCTGATGTGCGGCGCCGACCGGTGGTGACGACTGCCGCCGGCGCTCGACAGAGACGGCTGATGTAGTGATGGCGACGACTGGATGTATGCGATGTTTGGCGTATGTGATGACATACCGGTAACGATCGATGAGTGCGCCGGCATTGATGTGGTGGTGATGACCGGCGCCGTAGACATGGAGTAGCAATGGTTTGCATTCATGTGATGGTTTGTGGGTTCTTTTGGCATCAGGTGTTGGTCGACATGTTGTGGTAAGACTTGTGGTTTCATTTGCGGACTCATGTGAACGGCGTTTGTGAGCGAAGACTGGGTCCAGTAATTCGAGTTCTGGACGTAATTGGAAGTCGTGGTGACGATTGGGTTGTATTCATGACTAGTGTTAGCGGTCGCGAAGTTGCTGAAGAACTGCTGGATCTGTTGCTGAGGTTTGGATTCAATGGACATTTGCTCGATGGGCTGGTCGTCCATTTGCATATTGGACTCCGTGTCGGCCATCATCTGGTTCTGAGGCTCGAAGTACTGGGCGCCGGCATTCATGTTGTTATCAAAATTAAAATTATCGTCAGCTATGGTGTGCGCGACGGCACCGGTATTCGTATAGTCGGTGATCGCGTCGTACATTTGCGAGTCCTCGTAGGTGTCGTCAATGCGCTCCTCATAGACACCGGTGACCACCGGTTGCTGTTGTTGGGGCTGCGCTTGGGGTACGGTATACGTAAACTGCTGTACCGTCGTATGCGATGGCGAGTATGGCGTGTTTGGCGAGTACTGGGCGGCCACTGACGAAGGGGACGTCGAGTATTGCGAGTGGACTGACCCGTGGTTTATAGGCGACGCCGCTGTCATAAAGTTGAACTGTTGGGCGGTGGCGTCGGTGGGTGTGTTGGGTTGGGAACCCCGTTGGCTGTGGTTCGGCGAGTGGGCGAAGTTAACGGGAGCTGCGCCAGCGGTGGGGGTCGACGGCAGTGAGTGGGGCTGAAGGGTTGAGCTGTTGTGACAAACGGTGGGCGTCGTGGGCACCGAATGCGAGTGATTGTAGTACTGGTGACCAAACACACTGTGGTGTTGGGAGGGCTGGTACGCCGTGTTGATCGTCATCAGCGGCTGATCGGATCCCGGGTCGGAGCACGTCCTCTGAGTGCGCCGTCGCAGCAGATCATTGAACTGTTGCGACGAATAGCACTCGTCGTCGTCCGTACTCGTGGGGTACGACATGTGCTGTTGTTGTTTGGGACCTCCGGGCCCCACACCACCGGTCGACACATCATTACAGCCAATATCGCTGGAGTCGCTGTGGCGGCGGCTCTGGTGCTGCCTCTGCTCCTGCGACTGGAAGCGTATCTGAGCGATGGTCGGGGGCTGGGATGGCATCCGGAACTGTTGCGTCTGCTGCAGCTGTTCCTTAAGTGACTGTAGCTGTAATTGGTTGTCGTAGTAGAGGCTGTTGTCGTTGCGATGGAAGTGGAGGTCATTGGCCGACGAGTGATGGAAATCGTAGTTAAAACTGGAGGCGTTGCCAGTGGTGGTGGGGGTGACGGGTGTCACCGGAGACAGTATGGGCGCCATTGGGCTGTTGAGTGGCAGCTGTTGCTGTTGTTGATGGGACGACATATGCGATACTTGAGACGGCGTTTGCTGTGCGGACCGATTGCTCGGCTGTTGCTGTTGTGGGGGCGGCGGAGGGGCTAAGCTGTTGGACAGTCCCCCAGAAGCCGCCGCTTTGTTTCTGGAGATCTTCTCTTTGATGAGATCCACAATTTGTCGGACGTTTGCGTTCATCTGATTGTTGTCCACTTTATTATTGGTCTCCTTCTTCGTACTGCTTATAGCACTGGTATTCACACCGTTTTGCGACTGGTTTTTAAGATACCCGCCGTGTAGTCGCATATGACCTGTCGGTGCGAACAGACAATAACACAATGGGATTAATGGCAATACATTCAACACAATGACAACAAGATCTACAGTACAACAAAGACATACCATTAAGAGCGGGTATATTCTTAAACTTGCGCTGACATAGCGAGCACTCGACCTGTTGGGGCTCTGACTTGTGGTGGTTTTGCGAGAACATAGTGTACGGCCAGTTGTCCGACACCGGGGTTTGCTGTTGGTGTGGCTGTTGTTGCGGTTGTGACTCATTTGTGGGTAAGGTTTGCATTGACTGTTGTGGTGGTTGGGGCTGAGGTCTGAAGGACTGATGGCTGGACTCGTGTTTGTGGTGCGGATGCGACGAATGGTGCGGATGTAGTGGCGGTGGCTGTTGATTGTGATGCGTCGGGTGTTGTGCGGACTGTTGTTGTTGTGGGTGCGGGTGATGAGCGGGAAGGGACTGTTGGTGTTGTTGACTGTGTTGTGGCACGTGGTGGAAGAGTGGAGGCGGTTGCGGCTGAGGCTGTTGTTGAGGTTTGTCGGCTTTGAAGTGGTGCTCCTGACCGGGACTGTGCGTCGACTGAGTGAGCAGTTGGTGGAGCAGTGCGTTCTCGGGTGAGTCCGGATTCATGAGAACCGCGTTTGTCTGCATCTTATGGTTCAACTCCTGTTTCAATAACTGTTTCCCGATTTCTGTGTTGTTTGCGAACGACGTCTTGTTTATGACAGACGTGTTTTGATGCCATTTGGGAGGTGTGGGCACATCCCTTGACCCCCACTTATCATTCATCTGGTTGTGGATGTTGTTGTCGTGCTTGTGAAGGGCCAGCCGTTGCAGTTGAGTGGCCGCCGACTGTTCCGTCGTATTAGTGATCGTCGACACCACTGACTGAGGAGAGATCGATTGGGGGACAGGCGCTTGAGGTGGTGGTGGCGGCGGCGCGTACTGAATACGATTGAGGGCCTGATTGGGGGTGAGTCCGACGTTGGCGGTCGAAAAGTTGAGCGCAATTCCCGGTATGAACGCCAGGGTTTGTAAAGACTGGGGATTTTGGCCGCTAATCGGACCTAAAAAAAGCAACAAAAAACACATTATAACAGACAATACGAGACATAATTTATAGGGAAATGTAATCAACGGCGGGGAACTGGATGCTGACCGGGCGGGTGGTGGTTCTCTTTGTGGCGACGCAGACTACGGGCGTCGCAGTAGGTCTTCTCGCAGCCCTCGACATCACATTCATAAGGCTTTTTGCTTCTGTG